TTTTTTTTTTCTAGGTATAACATGACACAAAATGCTTGTGGACATTTTTTAATGAAACTGAGTGAGAAAAACAAAGACGGCTTCAACGAAAGCTTCAACACAACATACAAAACAATGAGCACAGCATCAGAATAACAGTGGACCCCCACGTACATGTGATTCAGCATCCGCAAATTCAAATTTCTTTAGTTGGCATGAAAAAAATTGGGTTTTTTTTTTTACGTTTTTAGGTTGTTGATCAGCATTTTATTGGGTTGAAATGGGAATCTATTATACATGGATTTTTGCAATTCACGGGCTGGCTTGTCCTTATCCCCCCGCGAGTAGTGGGGTCTACTGCAACTAACAAACAAAAAAAAAGATATTTCACAACAAAGACAAACTCCTAAACTTCAACATGTATTATTGCAGACCCAACTTCGAAGTTTTCCCGGAGACGAGCCATTGTTACGGCCATGTTCTTGCTTAGGCTCAAGACTGGAAATTTGAGATATGAAAAGCAGCTTTTGGGGGAGAGCAAACAATTCCTGAAGTTGACTGAACATGAAACAAAGAAGTTCAACTTGCAAAAAAACAACAACCCTGCTATCTTAATGTTAACCTATGAGAAAAGCTATTGACATGCCAACAATTAGCATTGACAGTCACAGTATTATACATTGGCATACACAACAGAGAAATGCATGGATATATTTTAACAACTCACGGGAATATATTCTTTATCCTCTGTGAAAAACAGGTGGCAGATAGTCTATTATTATTTTTATTTATTATTTATATTTTTGTAAAGCACATTTTTATCGTGACTTTTTTTCGTCACACACCAAAAAAAAATGGTGGGGGGGGGGCTGAAACGGATCGATGGCAATTGCATTCATTTCAATGGGGAATGAGGATTTGTGATACAAGTGTTTTGGGAGACGAATTCCACTCGTATCTCAGGGCACCACTGTATTCATAACTTAAACGGTTCAAATGGTAAAGATTGGAAGCAGACTGGAGCAGTCAGACCATGGCTTTGTAGAAGGTGAGAGAGCGTCGCAGGAAGTGGTCCTGCTCCATACACACCAGCAGGTCACGAAGCATCACGCGGCTCACGCGATGGACAGCCTGCCTGGGCACCAGCGACACCTGATGCACACGCACACACAGAAACAATCCCTTTGGCACATTCAGAGTTCGCAGTCTCACTCATACAATCATGCTCTCTGTCACAGATACTCGTTCATCACAGGCACGTACCGGGCCTTCCGTGTTGCTGAGCGGTCTCTTCTTCCTGGGGCCGATGGCCGCCAGAGCGGTGAGGTTGGCTTCTCGCTTCTGCAGCTGAGCCTCTTCCATTTGTTGCAACTCAACAAGGAAACGATGACAAGAAGCAAGTCACCAAAAACACAAACTGCAAATGAAATTTCCACGGGAAGAAAAGTCACCTCTTTGGCTCGCTGCTTCAGCTGCTGCAGCAGCGGATCCTCAGTGTGTGAGCGACTCTACCGGCGAGAGACAAACGTGGAGTGAGAGAAGGTCGAGGTGGACGTGGAGCGGGACAGATTTTGAGTGAAACAGGTTTGGGGCCGAATGTGGCATGAGACTGACCCTGGCCAATCGCATCATCCTGTCTCTCTCCTCTTCGTCTTTCCTCTTCTTCCTCAAAGTGTCCACCTCCTCTAGGAAATGCAGCTGCGAGCGCACGTCATTCACTTTGGCGTGCCACGGGTCCTCCTACGGGTGCCAAGCGAAGCGGCTCATAGGAGCCCAGACGCAACATAAGCCAGGAAGGCCGACCGGAGTACCTTCAGTGGTGCCTTGCGGTGTTCCGCCATCATGCTGAGCTTCTCCAGAAGGCCGCGGAGATATTCCTGAGCGGCATGAGAAACCAGAGCCACCGCCTCTGGGCCCACTTGGGTCACCCCCAGCGGCCGTCCTGTGCACAGGATGCGGCCCAGCAAGGGGCCGGGAGACAGGAAGAGCTGATCCTGGCACGACTGCACCACAGAGCCCACCGCGCTGGTCAGGATCTGAGCGTTCTCCTCGCGCAGGTTGACGCCGGCCATGGACGCCACGTCGTTAATGTCATCATCTTCTCTGCGGGGGG